ATGTTTAGTTGGGAAATTACACTTTGTCTTTACTTACATGGGGTGTTGTCTGTCCGTAACCAGTGGGCTGTCTTTCAAACCTTTGCTCCAGGTGAGCGCAGCAGCTTCCATCTCCTCTTGAGAAACCACACGTTCTCCCTCTTCACACTAAACACATATGGACATCAAACTCAAATTAACATAAGAGGTTTGTAATCTCCACAAGCAGTTATTTTACCCAAATGTTAGTATTTTTAATACTAAATTTTTGTAATTTTGTGTTTTGTTGCACATGCCCCATCAAACACCAACTCATACATGACCTCATGACCCCTCACCCAAAGGCCCTTGCAAATCTGAGATCACACTTCCTACAACCCACTGACAGGGAGCCATAACCCCTGCTGCTAAATGTGGATGAACACCTGTTCAAACCCTGCCACGCTCAAACAAGACAGAGAGTAGAGGATAAGGAAATTGGGATGTAACCTAAACATACTGCACGTTCTGAAGCCTAATATAGGTGTTAATTTAGCTTTTATAGAGAAAGGTTCAGTCTCATCCAAATTCAACATCCCTCTAGAAGAGAGAGCCTTGCTTAGTTATATAGGGTGAATTGTTATGTCATGTAAAAGTAAGGACGTGTGACAATACACATCATGAAAGATGTTTTGTTTGTGCAGCTATACCTTGAAGAAAACAAAAAATAATACAGGAACCTTTCCTGGGAAACCTGGCAGGGTTTCCTGAGGCATGAGCACAAATGAAGACTTTTTGTGCAGAGAGAAAGCTTTAAGTCTAGTCTAAGAGTTATCCTGATGATCAGGTAGATACCTCAGCAGGGCTGCTGCAATGGTTGATCTGACGGGCGGGCTGCTTCTGCATGTAGCTCTTCATACCCTGCAGCACTTTCTGAGCAGCAGACTGGCAACCGTGCATCTCAGTCATGCGGTCAAACCAGCCCTTCACAGACTTGCGATCACCTGTATGAAGTAAAAGAGGCAGAGAAATGCTAAGAGAAAGAAAGATTGAAGGATTGCAGGAAGGATCGTTAGATCACCAAGAAGGAAAAACTACAACATCTGAAGATTAAATAAATGAAAAGGGTAAGAAGAGGAAAGTAGAAAATACATTTGAGCAATAAAAATAGGAAAGAAATTGAGGTATTTCAAAAGGAAATCTATTAGATCATGGATGGACCATTTATCCATGACCAACAACAAATAATTTCGAATTGTATTACTACTTACCCAGTGCAAGTGATGAGTCAGATAAAAGAGGGTACAGCGCAGCCCACACAACAACATCAGCAACAGAAACCACTTCCTATACAAAGCACAGGGAAATTAACATTTTTTTAAGGAATTAAAACACAATGTTCCTAAACTTGCCATGTGTCCAGCCAAGTTATTCAATCAATATTCTGCATGCATTTTGTTTGTAGAGAATTCTACAAAACTTAGAGCAGGAATGTGCTTTGTGCTTGCAACTCACTAAATACAAACTGCTGCAGTTGCCTCACTGCCCGCTTCCAAGTTTTCTTTAACATAACACAAGGTTCCTCCAAGCCACGCTTATCTCCAAGAGATTTAACAAAACATATTTCTGAACACTTGAAATATATGAAGGACGCAGATGACTTGTTGCCCTAGGGGCTGCAAATACAACAGAGAACTGACACACACACACACACACTTAGTCACATCTGTTCCATAAGAGACCCCCTCCCCAGATTAATCTTTCTCACTTAAAAAACATTACTAGTTTAGCATCAGCTGCTGAGAAGAAGAGAAAAAGAAACGTTGCCAGAGGAGCCTGATGTGGTGCACTGAAGGCTCTCAGTTAAACCCAGCTGAGCTTCCAAAGAGACATTGTGAACTTTGACTTGTATATTATATAGACTGAAAATGCTTTGAATTAGAATGTTTGTGTTTATCTTCTATGTGTATTAATACATTTAAATGGCAGCTAAATGGAGACTGAGAAATAAGAAATAAAACTGCTGAACAGGAGACTTTGATACCGTACCCCTGTTAAATATGGCGTGTTTCCCTTGGTCAAGCCTTGGTCCAAGTAGTTCAGGGGCGCCTGGAGAACCTTAGACACTTCTGAAGCCTTTCCTTGCACCAGTGCCATATGAAGAGCCTGAAGCAGTGCAGGCTGCATAAATAAGACAAAACAGAGGTTAATTAGAATAGATCAAGAGATATTGGTTGAAGCTGTAAACCAAATAAATGTGACTGAGGTTAAAAACATCCTCCTTAAATTTTACACAGAACATCCAGGTAGCGTTTTTACGACTTATTTCTGCACGTTTCAATCATTTTAGTTGGATTGGATTTATGTCCCCACTGGCAGCAACACACTGAAGCATTGTTAGCAGAGTCTGTAAAAAGACCGTACAAAGCATGAACTAAAAATAGCCTCTAGCACACAAGAGGACTTTCAAGCAAAGGAAGGTCTGATTTTTTGTGTAGAGTTTACCTGGAGATCAGTGGCCTCCCATTCCAGCCACTGATTGCAAAGGTCAGTGGATTCTTGTCCTTTTACTTCATAGAGGTATCTGAGGTGACACACATAAAATACAGATATCTGCAATATAAGTGCTCCATCTTCGTGGCTGAGTTTCAGTGTACCACTAGAGTCAACTACAATTAGCTTTAAAACATTCTTACACTCCATTACTGTTGTTGGCTTAAGTTTATATCAACAAATAATCATAATTAAGTCAATGCATTGTGAGATATTTGGGATCCATACAAATATAAGATGTTGATATTTATCTCAGAGTTGGCATTCACTAAGAGGGAAGGACTGTGTGTGAGGGTCTACTGACTGGCAGATGGCATTAGAGCTGAAAAGGTGCAATCCACTGGGCAGGAGGAGGGCTGGCAAAGTTGGACGGCTAAGAAAGGGCACCACTGTCTCTGAAAAAGAAAATAGAGAGAGATCATGAGTTTGTTTAAATAATTCTGCATAAATTACATGATTAACACCGCACGCTGACATGTTTGTTAGACTGGTTATACTTGATTCTTTATCTGGCTGCTAAATCCTTTCTCTAATGTTTCTGTCTTTAGAAAGAGAAACAAGAAACATCTACATCGATTAGCAGTACACACCATCTTATTTATTACAAAACATTCAGAGCATATATTGTATTTAAATTCAACAACACATCTTCTAAGAGAAGTAATAACACAACACTCCTCAGATGCTTCAAGGATAATCCTGTGATCAAATTCTCAGCCAAAATACTTATCAGTAAAGTCATTTGAATGGTCAATGACGAACACAAAGGTCAAACTAAAGGTCAAGGATTTGATCATTTAATCCAGAGTTTATCAGAACGTATGGCAGATTAGCGTAAAAGGAGATTCTGATTACATTTTTTATAGATGTCTTTACTTTGATGGTTCAACTCACTGGTTTATAGCAACTCCGGGATTAAATACATTTCTAATCCAGCAGGAATAACTTCTTTTACTTTTTGAGTTATTATTATTTACCTTGATACATGCGTAATATATCAGACTTTGTATAAAACAGTGGACAAATAATAAAAGACAGCAATTCACTCATTCAAGGGATATTTTAAAAGCGTGACTTACATGATTCAACAACAATTGCTATTGTGTAATCTTGCGAACAAACAAACCAACCAAACCGACAAGGGTGAAAACATAACCTCTTTCACAGAGTTAATAAGTAAGCAAGACATATATATATATACAGCCCATATGATAAATCCATATCTACATTCTCATTGGCAAAGTTAGCCTACTAAGGACTAAGCATATTCATCCAGCCTTCATTTTTAAACCAATGTTTAATCATCTATCAAGGTTTGTTCCTTGGGTGCAAAGTGATCTGACTGTTAGAAATAACACTGTCCACATGGTACAGTATGTCAGACCAGATGTTGAACCAAAACAAGCTGGCAGGTTCAGATCACAGTCTATTTTTCCTACAACCATTGACTTTTCATTTTAATTGAATGATATTACATTGCAATCAAACAGGAGGTGGTTCAAATGTAGTGTTTCCTGTGTTTATATAGTAAGTGGCAGAACATCTTGAACTGGATTTGACCATAGGTTCTACCTCTACGATATAATCACAGGTATTGGATGTAATGAAAACAAGACATCTGACACCATTACTAGTAACACACTGTAAATACAGACCACCTGAGGCTGTGTGACACTGTTCAAACACAAAGCAGTGATCTATGAGACTTTTCCAGCTGCTTCTCAGATGCAGGTCTCGGTCCATTCATCGTGACTGACACTGACAGGCTGTTGACACCTAGCTAGCTTGCTAACGTACATTAGCAACAGTCAGTTTCAACAGAGAACCAGCTCAAACTACACATATCAACAAAGATGAGCCTTTAGCTACACGTCGGCAGCTGTTATTAGTTAGCCTGACGGAGGAACACAGAGTAACACAGAGCGAACCACGCCGTCTTACCTTCGTGGTTGACATACTGGACGTCACACTGGACTCCGGTCACTTGTAAGGCGGCTAACACCTTCAGGCAGTGCGGGTTGCCTTCACTTAGAAGCAGCTTCATTGGACCGTGTAGTTCTCTGGACTTTAACAGTGGAGATATTTGTGCTTACTTTAAAAACAACACACGCAGCAGTCGATGGTAACTTTCCCACACGGGCTGATGCAAGCAACGCCGGCTCCAGGACAAATGGCGGGTTTGTAGTTTTACAGCGGGCGCCAGCGTCGTTCGCATAAACGGAAGTTGCCCAGTTGAAGGACTACAAATACCAAGAAGCATTTTCCCAGGAGCGGAAATGCACCGCGCGGTGGTACGGCTTCATTTTAGCTGCCACCGCAGCGCCGCCGGGCGGGACTCGCCGCTCGTGTGTCATCACGACACACACGGGAGGTGCTGTGTAATAAACTGAGCGCGACACAGTTTACGGCTGTTCTGATTGGTCCAGTGTAACTTCATATCGCAGCCAATCATAACGCAGCAAACCCACTCAGCGCAAAGCAATATTATCTATCCGCTTAAAGAGCCGGAGGTGGAGGCAGCAGCATGGAGCCCGTCCAGCTGCTTCATGTCCATCTATGACTGTTTGTATTTATAAAACTCACTTCGTCTCTGTTCCGTCAAACGATGTGAACTGAAGTCTTCAGTCATTTTTTTATTTTTTTAATTAAAAGTGCATCAAACTAACGCAAGAAGCAACTCCTGCTGTCTGCAGCTCACCTCAGCCACTGAGCTGTCACCATCTCCTCTCTGCCAGGTGAGTGCTGCTTCCAACACAAACATCACGTCACTGCGGATTCTAACCATCAAACATCTGTCTCACATGTTTCCTGTGACATGTCACAGAGGAAATAGTTGCAGCTGCAGGATCAAGTGCTTCTGTGCAGCTCACTGCCAGTGTTTTAATCTGCGAATGAATGGAAACTCATTAGATAAATAGCCGGAAATGAAGCGTATGATAAATGCTTTTAAAGTTATTAGATCATGTTGTTTGTAATTACCTGAAACAACTGACTACAGCTTTAAAAATATAATATAATATATACATAAGAATGTTCTGTTTCTCTCATAACTGTGTGTTTGCTTATAAATAATAATAATAATAAGTTTATTTGTAAAGCACTTGTCTAAACAAGCTTACAAAGTGCTCCCCAATAAAATACTTGGCAAAAAGAAGAATGAATTAATATATAATAATGATATTATAATAAGAAGAAATGCATTAAAGCTGATTCAAACATTGTTTGAGTGGATAACATTACAATATAACTTGTAAATTGGTGTAAAAAGAAAAGTTGTAGGCCAATGATGCAACTCTTTCTACTTATATTTAGTAACATATTGGTCTGCAGCCACAAAAAGAGGTTCTACGTTTCACACTTACTAAAATAAAGACCACCTTTTCCAAAACAACATATTTTTCCACATCATATTGTCAAACCACAACTATTTCTGTCACAAGTGCCACAACTCACAACAGCTGGGGCACCTCCAAAGAGCCACAAATAACAGATTGTTCTACCCAGCATGCTCTTAAAACACTTCAACCAACTACCGCTTCCTGTGGAAAAATATTTTCCATTTTCCATAATATGTGTCTATATACAGTTTCAGTCTGACATCACTTATTTCCGATGGCCTCATTATTGGTCATCTCTTTGAACATATGAATGATAACAATTGCTTATCTTGACACTTATTTACATATATGTACATATTTTCATGATTGTGCAATAGGCGTCAGACCCTTCACGCTTTGCAGGAAGTGTATTGACAGTTAACCACAGTGTATGATAGAAACAGTTTGACTGACGCTCGCATTTTTGCTTTTTCATAATCTGTCTTAAATCCATGCAAAGCAGGAGATTTGCTCCCTTATTCACCAGCCTGTGACGACACTGGCTCGAAAGATTATTCTCCAGTTGCAAGTTTGCTGATTAAAAGAGCCCTGTATGTGCAGTATTAGCAGCAGGGTTACGAGTTGGCTGTGATTACTCGTGTGCTCTGCAGATTGCTGTTGTGGTTGCAGTTTGAGATTGAGGGCTTGTTACTGGTCAGATTATAATGCTGCTCTAGGAAGTCTGAGGCCTCGCTTGGTGTCTGTTGTCCATGCATACTGTGCACAAATATACAGTAGCAGACATTTTGATTGATTGATTTTTTTAATCACAGTGCAAGTACAGTAAAAATAACATTTAACATTTTTTTCCAGTTTTGTGACACCTCTAAAACAATCCTAAAGAGCACATCTGAGAGATGGATATTTATTTTTTTTGTATTTATCTGCTTGTTTGGCTCTCCAGATCACATGGGTCTGTTGAAGGTAGTTGTTATTAATGTTCTTCTGTGTCTGTCAGTGACACCTGATCAGGGTTTCTTAACTTTTTCTCAACAAAAAGTCCTCGTGACCCTGATCAAGTCACGTGATTTACAAGGCTTATTTTCAAGAGCACAGAGTGGCTCCATCAGACAATATGTAACAATGTTGTTAATTTATTTGGTGCATCTGAAGCCAGTGAACAAAATATAAATGTTTTGGTTGGTGTTTGAGAAAGATGTCTTTGGGTCATTTTGGCTGCTATGGTGTGAGGTTATTGTTTTATCCACCACATTTGAATGAAGTTGGTTGTGTAGTGTATCCTGGGGCCCCAAGATTAAGAAACTCTCTTGAGACTCACTTGAGCCTAATCCTGTTTAATGATGTCTAACAAGTATGATTATGACCACGTGCTTTCCACAGAAGATACTAGGCTCAACATATTGTCACTAATTGGTAGCTGAAAAAATACATTTGAGATAAGTTTAATTTCAGTTTTATTACACAGACCATGTAACTAATAGACACTATTAGGTGTTTGTGGCCCAATCCTCAAAACAGACAAACCAGCTCTTCCATTTACTCACCATACTGTATCTGAACTGGACTATCCCACCCCCCATCTGAGCTCTGTTTTAATCCAGTTTAATCCTGCATTTCATTTTCGTATCTGTGCCATGAGTTGTACTATGCAAAGGTACAACACGGTTTACTTTATGCATTATATCCACTTCACGAGTGCTTTGCATGTCTTTGCTATGATTTCCAAGGCAAACAACATATGACGAAGGTAAATATGTACTGGTTTCAATGAATCATGATTATTCTTTGCTGTTTTTGCGGTCAATGCAAATAAAACCGTAACACAATGATTTGCATCTGCATCACGTCAGGTAGATTTTCATTGGAGATGATGGTGAACACTCCCATGATCCCACGCTGCATCACAATTTCATCAAACATTTCTTTTGTTATTGTTTTGATTGATAGACCCCTGGTGGTAGAGGGTAGAAGTTGCATACTGTACATTGAAGGAAAAACTGTAGTGAAATTCTTGGAAAAAAACAACTGCTAGAATTAATAGACCTGAGGGCACCATGGGTAAACAGGCCTCCAGTGTTTGACTCAACCTGTATTGTTATTTGTTTAATCTTCCTTTATTGAACCAACATTCCCTTTAACCCTCTGAAGGCATCAAAGCCTGTGTCTGCGTGTGAGTCTCTTCTCTATAACATTTGCCTCCAGAGGTTGAGCTGCTCTTCTTGTGCCTCAACAGAATCGTGCTCACTTCAGCCGTGCAGGACTGAAAGTGGGTCTTTGACTTTGCCTGATAGCTTTTGACAGCTCACTCTCATCCCCGGTGGATCAATGGAGCTCAGCGCTCTTCATTAGAAACATCAATGTACCGCACATTCCCACAGGCTCAGCCACAACCCGCCTGCCCAGTCAGAGAGTGAGGGGATTTATTTATTTATTATTCTGGAGAAGATCCTTCTTGACTTCGGTGGGATATTTCATTTTCTTCAACTGGAAAGCTAATGCAGGGATACAGTGGTGTTGTTTGTCTGCATGGACTTATACGTAATATATAAACAACCATGTGCCCAGCATTGGTCAAACGTCACCTTCCGTGTGAATAAACATGAATATATTTGATTTTGGTTTATATCACAAAGAATAACAAATAATTGCAACTCATCTTATTCTGTCTGGCTGCTCCAGACAAAAATCAATGCTCTGCAAAATCCATAACTTGGCAACCTTGGTCTTTGCACTCAATCTTAAAACAGTCTTTAGCAAGAAAATAAATCAGTAAAGTTGACTTGTGAAAGTCTAGTTTCTTTACTTCTTTGATAAATAATGAATCATTTAATCCTGTCGTGTTCAAACGATTAGTTGATTAAACAATTAGTTGAAGTAATTTTGAATTATTAAGTAGTTTTAAGTATTTTCTGTAATTTAATAATCTATACTGATATATATACTGTATATATATATGGGAGCTGCCATGGTAATAAATAGTAATGGCCACTATTTCTTAAATGTTTTTTATACCATTTTACCATTTATACCTATTATTTTATATGTACATCTGTAATGTCAGATTAATAAGATAAGAAAAGCAGTTTACTAAAACAAGAAGCTTCTCTCATGAGCTTTTGTCTCTTACTAAAATAAGCTTATTATCCTTTAACTCAAAGTGAGCTGGCTGCATGTTTTTCACCCTCCATTTTTTATATAAAATGCACAAGCTAATTAAAAAATGTGATGCTTGAATTCATTCTTTCAAGTGTTTTAAATGGCCCCTGAGCAATCCTGCACTACTTTGCCTAACTGGCAAACATTGGTCTGAAATAGTGAGCTCTCTCTCTCTGAGGAAGTTTGCTGTGTGTCGATGGAGGCTGCAGGGTTCATTGTAAACACAAGTATTGCATCAGCAAATACTTGAAATGATGGCATCACACACATATGAAATGTTGTTATATGCAACAAGAAAAAAAAAAACTAACACACATACTGGAGACACTGGAGATGGTAGTTGGTCACGGAGGTTGTTGTCATAATGATAGTAGCAAGAATGAGCCAATGGCTTCTGTTCTGTCATCATCTGCTTTTTGATTGGCCCGCTGACAATTTACACAGCTAATCACTGAGAGAGAATTCAGCCCACCTGTTTAGTCACACACACACACGCACGCACGCACGCACACAGGCAGGCAGCCATCACACTGTGTTTCAGTGTCTCTCTCTGGTCTAATCATCAATAATGCATGGCGTTGGGAGGATGAAAGGCTGTTTTGGCTTGAGGCATGTGTCTCATATGGAGAGAGAGACATCAGCGCTAGTAGTTATAACTGTACATCCACAGTGTTTCTTCACATGGCTGTCCTCAGCAGAACTGCTCATCAGGCTGGGGGTGGACTGATTCCAGGCTAGAGGGCTAAATTGACAGATTAATTGGTGATAGGAAAGTGATTCAAAAAACATATATTTATTGGTTATTGTTGTCAGAAATGAAGATCAAAGGATTGATGGTCTTTTATCGTGTATGTGTTGTAAACCCATCGGAGATAAATATGGTTATGATGTTTTGGGTCCAGACGCCATTTTGGCTAATCTCTATTAGCAGCTAACTGCATATGACTGCATAGGAATTAAAAATGTGAAAGGTCTTTATTCTACCGTTTGAGCTTTAAATCTACCTCAGGTGTAGTTTAAATACGACACACTCTTTGGATAAGTCTTGATTTTAGGAACATGTCAAGGCACCTCTGTGAAAAATACTACACTCTGCTGTGCTACAACTCCTTTTTCCCGACAACGCATGATTGTGTGATGTGATGCAACACCTCATCTCTCACAGACTTCACCACAAGTTGGGACTGAAGCGGCTGGTTGAGCAGACAAACCACGATGCTTGTTTGCATGTAGAGAGGGTT